AATGAAAACTGACAAAGCATGTCCAAAATACGACATTTTCAAAAAACAAGATGGCTGCCAGTCGGCCATCTTTGATCCAATTGTGAAATAAATCACCGTGGACATGTATTCTAACATGTATAATCTATGTACCAAGTTTGAATGAAAACTGACAAAGCATGTCCAAAATACAACATTTTCAAAAAACAAGATGGCTGCCAGTCGGCCATTTTGAATCGAATCGCTAAACCACTGCATGTGCATATGTCCCACATAAAGTACTAGGCACATGCAAAGAATGAACGGAATCGGTCCAAGGGATTCTGAGATATGACTCCGGACGGACACACGGACGCACGGACGCACAGACACACGGACGGACGGAGACCGAATTATAAGTCCCCGTTTTCGGACTTCGTCCGAACGGGGACTAAAAAGCGAGAGAACATTGTTTTTAATTTTCGCGGGTACCATAATAGTGTTGTGAACACAGGCGTTGTGTTCAGGAATCGGGGAACTTCGTCTCGCTTGGCTGATGTCACTTACACGTAGAGATACCAGATTCGACCCAAATGAATACACATTAGTTCTTTACAGATAGACCAGCTTTATTCACACAAGCAGTCAGCTGAGGTAGTCCCTCGCTGTACCGTTCTCTCGTTCTTCTTCCTTACAAAGGTCACAAACTCTCTATATTGAAAGTCAAATCTCTAAAGCGTGGCAGAGTAAACACGCGATTAGCCAATCGCTGCAGTCGTTGGCACGGTCTCGTGATTACCAGGGATGTGCTTTGCAAAGTTGCCACTACTAAATACAATAAGTAAACAATTTATTTATCAAATGTCTGTTATGTATGTTTATAATTTCCACCCTAAACATGCAAGTTGTTGATTCTAATCAATAGTCTAACGGCGTGTAAAATACCAAAATAGTGGCTTAACAATCGTTCGCTAATAATTACGGTAATAACATCACAAATACATATTTAATGGCATAAAACAAATCATTTTTGATTAATTGAATATAACTTTTCTAAAATCCATTTCTGACTGGTTTAACTGTATACAATGTATACCGATAATCGTGCAATACTAATGAAATAAAATAACATATAAAGCGCACCTGCCTATGTTTGTTATAATGGTTGATGCTCTCGATAAATTATGCAATATTAATGTTATGTAAATTATCCAAGACGTTTCGCGCACCATTCACAAATCCTGGGGGTCATTTCGTAGCATATCAGCGCCCCCCGACCACCCATAAATCCAGCAGAAAGCTCTGGGATTCAATACAAAATACACTCGCACCTCGCTTTAAGGCATTCGTTGTACGAGTAATCTGCTAGGTATTCCTTAATCTGACTGGGGAGTGGTAGTCGCTGGATGTGATCCACGCGAACAAGCTCACGGACAACTAATCTGCACAGATACTGAAGTGACGGCGGGGCGTCCATGAAACGACACACTGGGTCAGTTAAACAGATCGGCGTGTGTTCGTAGTTATACACGAAGACTCCCTCTTTGCAGTATTCCATGCAAGTCTCGATTAAATCCACGATCGATTTGGCGAAACATCCACCTTCCAAACTGAATATGCTTCTGAAATAGAACACTCTCGCGTGATTAGTTCTGCCACAGAAACGGAAGCTAATATTTATCAAGAGACGTTGATGATAACTGTCTCGTACAAGAAAAGATCCATCGGGCATGTTGTTGAGTATTTCAACGGCTTCATCGCATGTCAAGGGTCCCCAATACCACTGTTGTTTTGACAGAGAGCTCAATTCTTTGTGTAGCCTTGGAGATAAAAGATTTTGACCTTTTTCATGGTGTAGCATTAGTGTGTGGCCGTCACGTGTGTTATAACTTATTGTTGGTGGTTCCAGCTCACCGCCTTCATCATCACTCACGTCTTCCTCGACGATATAGCCACCCATAGATGAATAGTCGAATTGAGAGGTGCAGCGGTTTTCAGATAAAGTTGTTGATTCCAACCTACTCGGATATTTCTTTTTCCTCCAGATATTAAATTGTATTTTAAGGTTCCGTATGAAGCTTCCCTTCGTCGTTTTCGTCTTGTTGGCGTTGGAAGTAGACTCGGGTCCCGACTCGAGTTCACGAAGTCCACTTGCGACTAAATGACTTGGCGACTGCTCATCGACTCGGAGTTTCTCGTTCGCACGGTAGCAAGATGTTCTCGAATCATCTTTTTCCATGGCAATTCTTCTCATTATGTTAATCAGTCGGGATCACCAGTAATGACATCAACGCACACCGAAAATGTTTTCTCCGTACTTTACTTCCTGCTTACAAGTATATTTACGCAATGGCGTAGAATCTTACAAACTAAAGTTATAGAGGGCGCTTATACTGTAAAAAATGGGAAAGGAAGATAGCATTTGTCGGTATGTATATGGTAAACGGAATGCATACATTAATTTTAAATTTGCCGGTGGCTGCAATGGTTTCAAAGGAAAGATTCTATTTATCCCAAGATTATCCCAAATATACAATGTGTAGGCAGAACTATTAAAAATTACAATTTTGATGAAAATGAAAGTCAAGCTGGTTGGTATTGGTGATTATCGTAAATCGTGATTGAACCATATACAAGAATGCACATCCCCTGCTTGGTTTTACGTGATTTTTAAGAAAGAGAAAATATTTTAAAATATTAATAGTTGACTGTCCATAATTTTGATAAGATTCTCTGATTTAAAACATGTTTCTAATTCAACCGGTGAAAGGTTTCACTTTGTTTTAACGTGGGAATCGATTATTGAACTCCACGCATGCTCGGTGAATTGTTGCGTTGTTTGTTTCATTATATGTAATGTCTTCCACGCTTTAGCAACGATGTCTGATAAATAAACATTAGTGGGACCCAGTTTCAGCTGGTTATTTCCTAACACTGCCTCTTGGCACAGGCGTCCGGCAATACAATTGTACAGCAGGGTCAACTCAAAGTCAGGAAGCTGGAAATTTTTGAGGTACCCAGCCAAAAAGTGACCACCGACCAAGAGTGGGTTGTCGCTTTCCAGCATGAAGCACGCGATAGCGATGGCCACTTCGAAGAGATAGTACGAGCACTGAGCGTCGTTGAAATCAATTATGCCGGTCATTTGGTACGTCTTACCGCCCTGTCTGAATGTATAAGGGGAATCGCTAGCTCCGTCATTGATTATAATGTTTTCGTCGTGGAAGTCACCATGTATGGTACCTACACAATTAATTTAAACGAGCAGAAAAGTTAAAACGGTAAAACACAAAGAGAAACAAAAATGACAACAGCTCGCATATGATTTCACAGTACGTAAATTAATTCGACAATATTTTGCAAATCGAAATGCGATATTTGTACAGCTTTGTTTTGAAAACTGAATTGTAGATCGAACGTTGTAACGTAACTAGTAATTCGCACATAAATCCTCTATTCCAACCAGCTACGGAAAGATTAAGTACTTATTTAATTATTACCTTCTTTCAAATGATGCAGATTTGTCAAAACTCTGTCTTCAAACTGTTTGATATAAAATTCGACCATTTCCATATTGCTATTATCCGAAATGACGTCATAGTAGGATCGCAATTTAGGCAATGCGGTCAGGAACCATTCTGACCCTTCGCCCAATGTCACGTCACATACCAATCTATCGTCATGGAAACCCTGTATTAAAAAATGCAAGTAACCAATTTGCGGGTAACTGTTTCACGTGACATGGTCCCCCAGTATACGTTTTAAACGTTTTTTTTTTTTTTTTAGTTTGTTCAGCCTTTTCGGTAACTGGTCATCACTAAATCAGTGCGTATCTCAAATGGAATTCGGCAATTTCCTTGGAAGTACGATACTACAAATCGTAAATATTCAAAATGGTCGTTGACATCGTTGACCAATCACGTCATTGTTTGCATTTGCGCAATAATACATACTCTTCTTCAAGTAAAGACACCATAAAATAGTCCACTGTTACATACTCTCACCCAGATCTTCACAGTTTGGGGGGTAGTTCCCGTAGTACTAAGTGGGCATGGAATGGCTGTTTAGGTGATGAGGTACATACACTTTATGATAAACATAAGAGATTGCGTGAGGCGGATTTTTTGAGTTTTGAGTCATATACACTTTAAAAAGGAGCACAGTAACAAAGTCAGTGTTTGCGATCTATATATAATCGGCTGTATAATGCAACGAAAATATAACACTTGTACCTTTAAAATATTGTCTATCTGGCCTAGATACTTTCCAGCGGAGAAATACATTTCATTGGACGGTAAAATGCCATACAGTATACTTCCCGGAACATACGTTTGCAGAAAGATCACTTTATTATGTATTTCTAAGGAAAAAAAAAACGGGGGAAAATTGATTCATGTGATTCAAAACCTTGTGATTGCAATGCGATGTTTGACGTAATCTTGACGTATAGAATGAAATCAGTGTGGTTAAATTACTAGCTGAGTTTGGTTGTGTAGTCTTCCGCTTTTTAGAATATAAAAACAAAAGAAGTCCAATAAGAAAGTCTACCGCGTGTATTAAAAATTAACAATACTTTAATGAATACCCATAATACCTGTTTCTGTCATTGTGCTGTGAAAGCTAAACATCCGACCATCTGAGAGTTTTACCGGTAGAGGACACTTTATTCCGTGCTCATGCAAGTACACCATCAGGTTGCCGATTCCTATCAACCAATCACTATCACTACGCTTGCTCAATAATTTCAGGACATAGAGATGCCCGGATGTAACTCGAATAAGCAAATTGTTGTTGTCGTGTGAATTTAGTTTGTTAATTGACTCCACTTGGATTGCATATATTTCTTCAATTAATTGTTTCACTGTTTTAAAATCTGTCAATGATTGACCCGGGTTTACAACAGCCATCATGTATTGATCACGGGTTAAATCTACTGCATTGAAATAGATGTATGTGATAGCTTCGATAATCCCAAGACTAGCCGCTTGGTGGCGCTGCATAATTGATGAGTCTGTAAACAAACGTATAAACGTTGTGTTTGGAGTTCCACATTTTCCAATGGAAAGCCAGCGATGTAATCAGAAGTAAATATTAGCAACTTATCTGGCAGGGTCCTTGTAGTCCAAACATCGATCGGCTCATATGGATTTTTAATGAGCTAGTATCGCGGCGATGTATTCACTCGCTCGCTCCGACGCCGGAGACGGGTCACAAACATAGCCAGCTTTCCATTGGCCACCATTGAGAAAACGACCGGCAAGATTACACGTCACGTCAGCTGATTTGCGGTCAAAGTGCAAAGTTGATTTACCATATTGTTGCAGTTTAAGTCTCACGCCACAATTAAATGCTCCATACACTTGAATATGTGCGTTACACATTTAAATTATTGGATTTATTAATAATAATAATTATTATTATTATTAATTAATAATTATTATTTTTAATTCTTGAAACCCCGGGGATTTTGTAGAATTGTCAGTTTCCAATCGCTAAGATTATTTCGTTCAAAAATCGAGTCGAGTATTCCGCCAGTTTCTGCAAATTTCAATACAGAATTCGAAATCACGGAAAAGTAACATTGGTGGGAGGGTGGACTTGCGCAGAAAACTATGGGTAAACGCGGTATATACGCTGCGCGTGCCCCACCCCGATTATTTTTACCGATATTAAAATCAGCAGAAACTGTCGATCTTTAATCCTGACTACAACGGGGCGTGGATTAAACATAATATATAGTAGTCAAAGCTAATCATTTATAATATTTGCAATCTGCAATGACGTTGCATGCAGTTGCTGTTATATGAGGCACCTAAAACAGTATATCAAGTTAGTTGTAGAGATACACAAGCACTGGACACCAGTTTTTAATCAGTGTCAAAGAAAGAACAATGGCTAAGTTTCTTCACTTCATTAAAACCCGACCGGAAATGTCCCCTATCACGTTTTACAAATGTACAAATCTTTCTCTGTGTACATTTTTATGTATGTTCAGTTACACCATGTTTACTGGATCCTTTTTGGGCAAATTGGCTTGACTCTGTAAAATGTGCGTAAAACAAATTAAGGAAGAGATGACACATAGACATAGACATAGCATTCCTTGTTCATTTACTAAATTAAATTTACGTCCAAATACAAAATGTATTTAGCTCATCACAATGAGGACACTTGTAGCCGATGTAACGTGCTTTTGTTCTTCAACCGTTAGATGGTACCACAAAATAAATAAATCTATTCAAAAGTTGGATGCTGAAAAATCATTGAATAGACCTGTCTATGTGCATATCACAGTCACCTGGTGCACAAGTGATAATAAAATAAATGCGCCGGCGGTGATATTTACTATATGG